TAAAGGCCGCAGCTATATATTCGGTTTCCAGATGCAGTGCCGGTCCGCACCTGTGAGCGAGGTCCTGTCGGAATGGTAAAGGACCAGGGCACTGAGCGACGTTTCAAACGCATTGCTATGGGGTGTTGCAGAATTGGGGGTGCGCTGTGTGTCCTGGCTCCTCAGGGTATTAACGTTATGTATCTTGCCGTGAGGGTCATGGGCCGCACAGGACGGATGAAATGGCCTTTGCACTCTGAGGTTTTTTGAGCTTTCATGGCTTAGCGTCTTCAGCAGATGCTGTCGCAGCTCCATTGCTTCTGAGATTTTCGGCTTCTGCTTTTCCGGGAGCTCTACAGACGAATTACCTCAGTGCCGTAGGGCCCCAGAAAAGCCCTGAAACGCAGACACCCTGCAAAGGTCTTCCCGGAGCAGCAAGAGTTGATGGCGAAGCAGCCCGGCGACAGCAAAACCTTTTCCCAAAGGGTCCAAGTAATAGTATAGTATATACTTTGGGGGTCCAAATACCTACTAAGTAGCTACTATATTGGTACTTGGACCCTTTAGTTTTTAGGTCTTGGGATCGGACTTCAGCTTCATCCCCGAACCAAACAGAGACCTCATCCTCAACAACAGACTGTTGATTATAGAAATCCTGCATTACCTTAAGAACCCTATACTTTGGGAATTATGGTATGTTCCTAATTATGGGTAATGCAGGATTTTTGTCATCAGCCGTATTATTAATTCTCTTTGTCATACCTGTGGGGCGCCTGGAACCCTGCTAGTGAGCCTGGGGCGCCAGAATTTCAAGCCAAGAAAGAATTCACAAAGAGTTGGCTGTGCTTCATTCACCAGGGGCTCAGGAGAGCCAGTGAAGAAGGGTTCTAATCAAGAGCAGTTTAGGGTTTTAGCATCCAGACAGCTGCGGAGTCTTTTCTGACATGGCTGCGCAGCTTAGCGATTCCGAACGAGTTGGACCCGGCTCTGGGATCTCAAGTGACCCTAAATTTTGCTAAAGACTAAACCTTAAGCCCTAAACCGTCCTAAACCGCTAAACCCCATAACCTTGAACCTTAAACCCTGAACTCCCAACCCTGAGCCTGGTGGGATGTGTCAGGATGTTAGAGCTTGGTCCCATGACTTACCTGCTTGGCATCTTCTACCTCCTGGTTACCGGCTTAACTGTGCCTTGGCTGGTTGAGGATTTATGACGGTTTTATAGGCCCGGCTTAAGGTTTTTATGGTTGTGGCTTAGAGTTTAGGGTTTAAGGATTCATAGGTTTGGGGTTTAAGGTTCAGGATTTCTGGTTGTGGTTGAAGGGTTACAGGGTAATAAGGTTCGGGGTTTAGGGCCCTGGGCAGAGTCAATTCCGATTGGGCAACAGCACTTGCGTTCGTGCGATCTTTCTGAAAAACAACGCACGGGTTTGCACCAAAACGGCTAGTATAGGGGCCGGAACAAGTACCAACATTGTTCCTGACGGCTCCATTTTTTATATTATGCTATTGTAGTCTACCCCAAAACCCTGTTCCAATTATCGCAAGGCCTGTATTCGGTACAAAGCATTCTGGGCTAGGTTTCGCGTCTGGCCTTGGCACGCTGCACGAGATGCGTTTTCCTACTCTCGTTGCCACATCAAGCACCCCATGATCCATGCATCCCCTACACCTGAAATCCTGAAACCTACTTGGGCATTCAAAGACCTACCGTTTCAAGGGTTAGACCCGATAATGATGGGTCCTAACCTACTATTTCGTAGGGTTTCTGGATACAGGTCTGCCCTCAAGATATAAGCCCTAAACCGCAAGCCCACCCGAAGCCTACTCCCCCCTCCCCCCAGACCCTGAGCCCTGCTTGAAGTACCCGAAATCGCCAGCCGCTATCGCCCCAGCAACGGCCTGGAAGTAGTTATGTAGTTATGTCGACACACTCTCCCCTTTAAGCCCCCCGACGGAAGCACCGCACTTTGCAATCACTGGCATTTTCAGCTATCACTTGCAATGGAAGTGTTTTGTTGTACATAATTAGGCCTGTTTCTCTTTTATGGGTTTAGGGTTTCGGAATAGCTTGGAGAGGAAAAATGCACATTCCCGTCTCAGTGTGTTTGGCTTTCGAGGAGGCGCTTGCTGTCAGCGCTAGCCCCAAGGGCCCATGTGCCCAACTAGTATACCTGGGTATCCCAAAACCTACTTAAGGGTTAGACCCTATAATTAAGGGGTCATGACCTACTATTTCGTAGGGTTTGGGGATACAGGTAACCTCTGAACCCAGAAAAAACATGGAAGCACGAAGCCCGTTCGCTAAGGTCATGAACATGCTCATCGGCCGCGCCCCCAGCTGACTCTGACCAACCTTACCATGGTTTCGGTGTTTACCTAAGAGAATAGGGCCAATAGGGTTTAGGGTTTAGGGCTTAGGGTTTAGGGTTTACGGTTTAGAGTGTGTTTACCTAGAGTGTAGGGTTTACGGTGTAGACTGTATATTGAAATTTAAAGGTACGGAAGTTGGCGCTGAACTGTAGTGCGCATTCCCGTGTTTAAGTTGCCAAAGCTACCTCAAATGGCTGTTTGCGCTTATATTCCAGCAACCTGACAAGCTCAGCTACCTATGTGTGTGATAGGTTACTGTCTTTGGGCCGATGAATGCAAGCCTTCTATTTATGATTTATAATAGCTACAGTGGACTAGCACATAACTCACCTTGTTTTTTCGTAGCTGTGGGCTTCGTATGTGCCAATTCGACCCATTACTCATTGGCTCTTTGCAGGCAATGGGGGAATGGGTTCTTGGGACTACTGTACGGGACCTTATGCGACTATCGGAAAAGGGCAAGCGGTTCATTCCCTAGCTTCCCTTCTAAACTCTAAACTGTGGATTCTACGAAACCGGGAGATTAGTCCCAGGCGTGCTGGTGGAAGTGGTGTCAGTGGTGGCTCAAGTGGACAAGGAGGCTGGCGCCCAGGGTCCAAGCTTCTGTTATAGGGAGTTTAAAAGGGGGTTTAGGGAGTTTATAGGGTTTAGGGTTCACAGGATTTAGGCTGCCTGCCCCCCAAAAAAGGCACAGGGCCCCAAATATTGGTCGTTGGATAGATCACGGCTTCTATGGCTATGATTTCTGCGTGCTGCTGAGCTTAGCGCAGTTTGCAATTCCTCCAGTAGAATCGAGGGTGTTTCCATGAGCATGCCACTGGTTCAAGAGGCCATGAGTGATGCGCAGTGTTCTCATTTAGTCTCATGTCTTGAAGCCCGTATACCTTACTCATCATTCACGTATTACTACACATGCTATGACTGCTATGAATCGTGCAGTTCATGAGGCTAACTTGCTTTGTGAAGAGCCCTGCCTGGCGGCTTTAGGTTTGACCTTCAGGTGTTCAGGTCGTTGAGGCGTTTCTCTATACAGCGTTAAAGGTTGTGTCAGCACGATCCGACATCGGTGAGCTTCCCTGTCACACCTCTTTTAGTCTCTGGGGGCCCTACATGGCCCTAAATCCGAAACCCTAAACCGTATAAGCCCTAGACCCGAAATCCTGAACCCTAAACCCGAAACCCTAAACCCCAAGAGGCTTAGGGTTTAGGGTTTAGGTTGTTTTCAGAGCTTGGCGCCTCCGGCGAGCCACGCGAAGCTACAAACCCCAACCTAAACGCAGTAATCTAAGTTTAGGCGAATTAGGGTTTAGATCGGTTTGGGCTATTGGGCTTACATAGGGGCCGTGAATCGAGACAACTACGAGCAGTTGTATACTGTTCCTTAAGGAGCAGTATACAACTGCTCGTAGCTTTCCTGAACTATTTTCAGTATATAGTATACCCAAAGCCGGATTCCACACACTCAACAGGCAAGTATTCCGTCTGTCTTCCGCATGTACATATATGCCGTTTCCGTTGCTGCTGCTTTCGGCATGTACGTTCTGTGGAGACCACTTCTACGTTTGTGTGCATGCATGCTTCATCAGTATAATTACGATGTGTATATGCGTTGGTACGCAGCTGTAGGTGCGCATAGTGCCTGTACACGTCTGTACCGTCTGCCTTTATGTATGGGCGTTTCGCTTGTGCTCAGCCTTGTTCACTCAGGAAGCAAATCTAAATCCTGCGCAAGATTTCAACACGAGCCTGCCACTGCTGAAGCCGTCGCTGCAGGAGAGCGCAGTGAAGGCCCTCCGTGACAAGATCCAGGACGATAGGGCTTTTGGGTTGCAGAATCCTAAATCCTAAGCCCTAGACCGTGAACCTTAAAACCCAGACTAAACACCATACTACATTGCCCTCAGTTTAAAATTTGGGGCCTCCATGGTCTGGGATTTCAAAGCGGGTCGAGCTTCTTTTTGATGGTGGCCCGAAGCTGCACCGCCTGGGCCTTATGCTGAGGATCCTTCAAATTCCGGCCTACAGGGGCTACCTGGACCCTGCACAGCCTACCGTTTTAAGGACTTATAGAAGGAAATCATACTAAGGAACCCTTAAATCAAGGACTTATAAGAAAATCATCATAAGGACCACTTAAGGACTTAAAAAAGGAAATCCTAAGAAGGAAACCCCAAGTGAGGTTCTTTAGGCTCCCGGTATAGGATGCCGTAAACCCCCCAGGCTTTCTCAAGTTGTTTGAGGGCTTGCTTCTCGGAGTGCTTTCTCGATGTGTGGTGATGGTTTAGGGTTTAGGATTTAGGGTTTTGGTTTTGCGGTTTAGGGTTTGGTGTGTGACCCTTTCTTCGGTGCTGGCTGTCGTTCATGGACATCAAGGACAAGTAGACGGTTTATATGGCAAGCTATAATATATGTTCCGCTTAGCTGTAAATGGTCTTCCATACGGCCCCCAATGACACTTGCAGAATCCTCCAAAATCTCAGTCTAACTAGTATATCCTAAACCCAATTTTTTTAAAAAAAACCTATAAACCCTAAACTGCCATAAACCCTAATCCCTTCAAAAGCTTGAAGGCCCGAAGTCCTCACCGAAGCTCTAAACTGTGGAAGGATCTCGTGCCTTCGGATGCAACGGACGGCGTCAACCGGCAGATGTTTTTGCAACTGATGATGGACCCTGGCCTGCGATGAGGGTTTGGGGCTTAGGGGGTTTTGGGGGTTTAGGGGTTTAGGGTTTTGGAGTTTAGGGTTCAGGGTTTTGGGGTGTGTTTCCTGGCCTGCGATGGGGAGTTTCTTGCAAACAGAGGTAACCTGTCTAGGGGTCCTTATGTGGACCTTTCGTAGCCGTTCCGGTATATCCCGAGCCAAGGATCCGGAGCTCGTTGCGACGATGCAGAACATCGATGTGGATGTCATGTGCGTCGCAACTGCGATGCATGCTAAATGTCCTCCCTGTACATTATGTTATAGGTTTAGGGTGCAGGGCTTATAAGGTTTATGTATGTGAGCATGTATGCATGCATGGTTGTAGAGAGGCAGGCAGGAAGGTAGGTAGGTAGCTGTGCACGTATCCACTCCAAGCCCCTAAACCCCATAAATCCTAAACGTGAGACCTCTAAACCACCATTCCTAAATCCTAAACCAGCCTATGCCCCTAACCCCTAAACCCTAAATCCTCAAGCTCAGGAGAAAGAGAAGTTATATCCTTAGATGTTTGGCTTTCAAACTCACGGCAGGATGCAAGCATCTGTTGCGAGCAAGGAGCAAGCAAGGTTTAGGGTTAAGGGTTTAGGGTTCAGGGTCAAAGAACGAGCCAAGACACAGACATGGGCTTTTTTGGTGGAACCCGCAACGACCAATCTCAGTGATATTGGCCATACTTCGCACCCCTGAAACACCCATCAGTAGCCAAGACATCGTATGTTGGCCTACTTGGCGGTTTTGCAACCTTCCCCCCC